GGATCGGGCAGTGTTTCGTTCTGCTGTGCATGGGGTCGCTATGAGTCGGAAACGACTCGACGGCACTTAACAACAACAACAACAACATATAGCTATTAAAATTTTAAAAATTTAAAAATTCACTTCTTCAGTCTCACTAGCCACACACTTCAAGTGCTCAACAGCCACATGTGGCTATGTTACTACACTGGAGAGCAGAATGCAGAACATGTCCGTCATCAGAGTGCAACTGGACAGTACTAGGATAGAATGAGGGGAAAAGGGTACTATTTTATATGGGTGGTGAGTAAAAAACCTCTCTAATAAATAACATGGTGACTAAACAGATACCTGAATGAAGTGAGGGAAGAACTTCTAAGCAAAAGGAAAGCATTTATTTGTGGTATGGTTGGATAATATATCACTAAAGATCTCTTTTGGCATTAAAATTTGGATTTAAAGTTCAAAGTCATTCAGAAAATGGGCTGAGGTTTTAATTTGATTAGAATGAAGGATGGTATAAAATTCCCTACTTTTTGTTTTGCAAAAGCAAAGCATCCACGGGCTGGTTATCCCCTATTTAAAAGCATTTCTCAAAGACACACAGGAATAAGAAATGGAAAACATCTTCCTTTTAGTTCCTGTTAAGTCAGACAATTGGGTATTTTGAATTTCCTACAGCTACAGTTCCTTCTGACAAACTCCAAAGGCTTTCTTGAAAGCTAAATCCCCTTTCCCAAGTCCCCAAATCCTCTAAATGCCTCTCAATTTATCAGCATCACCTACTCTTCACGTAAGGGACTGAAAAGCTGTTTTTTTCAGTGATACTGAATCATGTTAGATTAACCAGGTGTTCTCAAAGTCACTAATTTCATTTCTGAACTGCCTTTCAAAAAGAATGTTGCAAAACGGCTGCTAAACCTATAAAGCAACACACAAATCTGAAACAATAAGCTTATATATTCTCTTGCCAAGCATCATGCTCACCATTCATATCTTAAATCCCAGGGCTCTCATGCACTCCTTGTGGGCCTCAATTAGGTGTCCACAGTGCTCTTCTCCTTTCTCGATGATGCTATAAAACAAAATGTACTGGTTATCTACGTAGGCATTAAGCACTTTACTAAATAAGCATGCATGATAGTGATGGGGCACAGAGGAACCTGAGTATGCCGGAATACAGCTAGAGTTTTTTTAAAATAGTATTGCACCAAATAGTTTTGCCTTTATTGGACCTTGTGATATTTTCATGCCCATTAGGAAGGCTCACAGATAACAGGTTTTTTGGAGGTAATCTGATTTGAAGAAATAATTAAACATCATATATCACCTCTGGTCCACAACCAAGAGATAATACTGTCCTGTAATGGAACAAATTGAATATAGTATCTGTGTGAACTGAAGGACAGAGAATTTATTTTTTTTGCCTGCTATCATACAGGAATTAACTTTCTGATGCTGCCCTACATTCAAATACTACCTAAATAAATCTGATCAAAGAAAGCTAACGAAACAAGAACAAGATTTGGCAGCCAAGACCCCAAGACCGGTAAGATGAGTCCTCTCACGATGATCAAAGAACTTTTAACTTAAATACACAAAATGGAGACTAGGGTCACTCAGCTTTATTTCTAGAGAGAAAGTAATTTTGGAAAGAAGGTAAGCCAAATTCAATTACAAGAAAAAAACTAACTCCTGACTCAAAATTTGGGAAGCCATAATGGCCTGTGACAATCAATGCAAAAGGAATTCAAGAATGAAATAAGTTCTCCCTTCTATCATGCTCAGCTGCTAACCAACGGTTTGGAAGTTCAAGTCCAGCCAGAGGTGCCCCAGAAGAAAGGCATGGCAATCTACCTCTGAAAAGTCAGCCACTGAACAACCTACGGAGCATAGTTTTACTCTTACCCACACGGGGTTGCCATGAGTCAGAGTCAACTCTACAGGAACTAAATCCTACCTACCCTTCTTTGATTGTTAGCTGCCTGAAAACGGAAGGAAACTGTTTGGATAGTGAGTACCTCTGAATAGCTCACATTCACTGAACGTGCCAAGCACTTAATGTGGCTTCTATCACTAACCTTTACAGTAATTCTGGAGGCAGATACTTTCATTAGGCCCAGTTAACAAACTAATAATGCAGCTATGTTAAATAATTGCTCAAAGTCACAAAGTTGGTGAACCCAGATTCAAACCTTGAGTCTATATCCCAGGCATACTATCCGAAGTTTCAATAAGCACTTATTGCTATTTTGGAGGCAAGATCAGTATCAGTCAGTCTTGCAATTCTCCCTTCACGGCATTATTTGCAAAATACTGAGTATTAATAAAAGCAGTGATGTTCTGTACTCATTACCCAATTATCCCACAATTTTCCTTTTTAATGTAAGGATAAAAAGAGATGGAAGGGACAAGTGGTGCATTTACGTTGTAAGGTTTCCTTCTGGTAAGACTTGTTCCACAATAAAGGTTTTATAAAGTAAAAACGAAGTCTTCTGGTGTATTGATGGTAACCTAAATTACTATTTTGAACGCTATATAATCTTCTAAATCCTAGATTGTTGATTTTTAAATCACAGGCTTTTTTTTTTTTTTTTTAAAAAAAAGCACTCCCTTTCTGACAAAGAACTGTAATGAATGTGCTGTGTTCTACTATCTCTAAATTTTGAGAGAAATCCTTAGACACTACCAGAACCTTATTTTTTGGTCTTGCCAAATCTCCCATTATAGTCCCTACCACATGGTATGGCACTGCAATTTGTCTCCACCAACTTTAAGCTGTCTTAAACTAACACTTTATCCACTTCTACATTTTCAGACCTGATGCAGTGCTTGATACATAACATTCAGAAACTTTGCAGAAAGTTATGACTGGGTGAAGCAAGCCTTGGATCAATCTGACCTCTCTCCTCTCCCTTTACCCATTTGCCCTGGCTGACTGAGGAGGTGCCTCCACAGCACACTGAACAGACGGAGCCAAGTGCGAAGCACATTGGGCCCTGTGACTGTCTCTCTCTACAGTGCAGCACACCAAGCGAGGGCTATGACCGAGACTCAGCTGAGAGGAGATGGCAGAGGCACCGGAACACGCGAACTGCGGGGCGCATGACCACCGGCCGCCCCCTTCCCGGCTGCGCACTGACCACGTATCGCGCGCCTTCTTGGTCTCTGGGCAGGCGCAGCAGGGCTTGAGCGGCTTTTTCTCCTGTGACTCAGACGGGGTAGGGCTTGCAGCTGCCAGACCCGGCATCTTTCACGCCGAAAACAGCTAGGAGTACAAACCCAAAAGACACCCGAATTTAGGCAAACGCCGTCACTTCCGCCAGTCGCTCTAAGAAACACAGGAACTCCTTCCTCTCTGAGACGGATGGAGCAAAAAGGGTACAACCAGCGCGTGCGCAGTAAAACACAGCTGAATCCAATTGGGTGATTAGCAGCTAGGTCATCTCTTCAGCGCAGGCGCAGAGAGGCAGGGTGAAAAGGTCACAAGCGTGTTTCTAAATGTCACTAGGAGGGCTTGGAAAGGGTGAGAACTGGAAAGTGTCGCAGAGGGCTCTCTCGCCCTGCCTCAGGTTGGAACTGAAGCTCAGGGAATGGGAATTACTTGTCTAAGCTAAACAAGAGACACACTAGTAAAATCGATTCCCCTGAGTAAATGTAGTTCTCATATTTCAAGCTGGGACATTATCCCCCTTCTTACCCTCCGCTTGCCCCAGGCCTTTCCTGTGTTTCACTGAATTAGATAAAAAGTAGTAAAGGCATTTGAACCATCCACAAGTATATAGGCCTCCTCCATATATTTTAAATCCTCATCTAATTTGCATTTATAGCCCTGAACAGATCTATTTCAGAATTGTGGTAAGGGGAAAGGGAGATCTCAGATTAGAACAGGTTCAACAGAAACCTTTTTATTAAGCCTTAGACAGAACAAAGACGCTATCTAGGATGAGGGAAATCATCAGATACACAGTATAAAGAGCTGAATGGAGTCTGCTAAATCATAGCCGTGGGGCTAATTATATACGATTGAAAACAAAGGGCATCATCACAAAATCCTAAAATCCTATTGGTGACAATCAATTCATCACTGTTGCAGTTGGGACTACAGAAGTGGAGAAAGGGCCATGATTGGGATACGTGCATAAATGAAGATTAAAAACGGTTACAGGATTGGTTCTGGGCCTTGACTACTTGGCTAGGTGATGGTCCGGATGTGACTCATGCGTCATGAGGCTTGAGTCACAGCCACAAGGTGCCTACAAACAATACCAGGACTCCAATTTCAATTCAAATTAGATAAAAACACACTCAGGCAAGTTTTCTAGTTCTTTGTGAGAGCATAATCTGTTTTCAACCACTCTTTCTGAGGGCAACTGCCCCTCCCTAGGGTTGTCCTAGAACTTGTCTATGCATAGCCACAGTGTTGGTTTAAAGGTCAGAAAGAATGCAAATGGCATCTGAATTTTATGTCAAGGCTCAAAATGAAGTTAGGGCTCCCACTGTAGACCACAGCCTTCCACAAACCAAGTGCTTTAGAATTTAAGCTCTAGGATGGTGTATGATCGGGAAGGGTTTCATTCTGTTGTACATAGGGTCACTATTACTCCAAGCTGACTTGATCGCACCTAACAACAGCAACACACTACTTAATGATTCTTGGACTAGCAACATCAGCATCATCTGGCTGCTTGATATATAATAAAGGTGGTTCAGTAAATCAATGGGGAAAAAGAAAATAGGCAAATCATATGGAGAAACTTAAAGTAAATCCCTATCTTAACACTACAATAAGTCTTTGGGTTTTGCACATTCAACCCAGGACAATTCCACTTGCCCTTTAATGTTATGTAAATTTCTCTCGCCTTGAAACCTAACCCTTGCTGACAACAAACAGTTCATCACCTTCACTTGCTGCAGTGCTGCTTTGAAATCTTTGAAAAAGCTTCAAGCCTTTTCTTGCACTTAAAAAAAAAAAAAAAAAAAGACAAAAACCCATGTCTATCAAGTAGATTCTGACTCATAGTGACCCCATTGGGTTTCTGAGGTGGTAAATCTTTACCAAAGTAGATTGCCCAGTTTTGCTTCTGCAGGGCAGCTGGTGAGTTTGAACTGCCAACCTTCTGATCAGCAGTCAAATGCCTTAGGCACTATGCCACCAGAGTTCCTTTTCTTGCACTAAAGTAAGGCTAAATAAGAACCACCTGTTTCAACTTCCCTACAAATTTGACTTAAAGACACACTTAGGAATGGATCTCGTTTGTAACGAGGACTTCGTGTGTTTATATTCTGCTTCATTAACACTGTTTTGGTAGAGGAAGAATTGCTCCTGCTAGAAAAATTACTGTACCATATTGCAAATATCTAAGGAAGTTGGCAAAAGCTGGTGGTACAACTGTGGTGATAGGGGTCAATGCTCCAGATACTGTATGATACAGTACTGGTCTTTGGGTTGGAATATTCTACTCTCCTTGGGGGGGGGGGGAAACCAAAGGATATTCCAACCCAAAGTGGAATATTCCATCATTTATATCCAGCTACATCACTTTCCTCTTGTCTCAAAGTGGTACAGCTAACCACTAAAAGTAACACACATGAGTTGCTTTTTCTTCTACCTTATAATTTATGAATAAGTAAATTTTAAGATCAACCATTGATTTTTAAATTATCATTTTGCTTACTGAAAAATAAAATTGTTGCTTTCTTTCTCAGCCTAAATTCCTTTTGACTTGTGGGATGGCTTGTCATGGTATTAAAGGAAAAGTAGAGATAGAAAATACATGAAAATTAATATTTCCCGCTATTCTCCAAGAAAAACCCCAACACACTTCCCCCAAGAAAAACACACCAATTTTAGAGAGCTGTATTAAAGATTATATTTAAAGTTGGCATGTTGTTGTTGTTGTTATGTGCCTCATCTTCCTTCCGAGCAGTGGCTGGTGGGCTTGAACCGCCAGCCTTCTGGTTAGCAGTCAAGCGCCTTAGGCACTATGCTACCAGAGCTCCCGGACTTTTTCATAGTGTAGTGAATATGTTATTGAATGGTACTAAATGGGGACATGAGCTACCAATAGCACCAAGCAACCATTTCGTGGATGAGATGACAGCCCTGGTAATGTAGCAATCAACACTAAAGAAATATTCTCTAAAGTTCCTCCACTATAAAGGAGTTCTTAACTGTTTTTCATGCCTAACTAACCCCAAGTATAGAGACTTTACCAAGTAAAGGTAGGGTGATTGAGGTTGGTGGAGAAGTAGTGACACCATATGCTGAGAAAGAAGAATTGCAAGGCTTAAATTCTCATTTGCCTAGTTAATAAATTCAGAGGTAACTTTATATATTTGTATAGTATTTACATTTCTGCCTTTGCAAAAAAAAAAAAAAAAATCAATTTCCACAAGTGTATATATATATATATATCTACACTATCAAGCATTTTATTAGCTTTTTAAGAACTCTGGAGGCTCTGAGATTTTACTCTACTTGTCTACCACAGCTCCGTGCATGATGACAGAAGCCACCAGACTGCTGGGTCAGAGATGAAGGATAATTTATTGCTTGTAGGAATAGCAGTAATCAGAGTATTAGCACTTTTGTGCCAGTTTCTGACTGTAGTTCCCACAGGGGGATGTGAAGACGACCAGGTGACATGTGCATACACACTGGGTTGCATTACAGGAGTGGAACACTGAGTTTTAGAAACCCAAGTCTTTGATAAAGGACAGTAAGGATGCCTGCCTTTTGCTCAAAAGGAACATTCTCATTCTGTAAAAAACCTGCCCTTTGCTCCAGAGGCAGACATTATTTCTATCCTCCAAGATTGTTCACTGGATCAAAAAAAAAAAAAAAGAGGGCAGACAGTGCCTTCCTTCAAGAGATGCAGAAACATGAAGAACTGTGGAGAATTGTCTCCCAGTACCATTAAGTATTACTGTGATTTTAATGAAATTTCATTAAATAGCACCACTCCCTAATATCAAGTTTCTTCTATATAAATAAATTAAAAGACACAGACCTAATCTCATGAAAGTTGTATATTCATCTCTTGCTATGTAACAATATTACTGCAAGTACTGATAATATAGATTTATTGTCTCACAGTGTTTATAGATTATGAATCTGGGCATGCTTAAGTGGGTCCTCTGTTTGGGGCCTTGCAAGAGTACAATCTCATGGAAGTTCTCCTGAGGAAGGAAATGCTTCCATTCTCATTCAGGTGGTTGGCAGAATTCCGTTTCTTATAATCATAGAACTTAGGGTTTGGTTTTCTTGCTGGCTGGAGGAGGGTGCTCTCAGCTCCCAGAGGCCACCTGGCCACTTGGGATTTCCCAAAATGGCCACTTGCCTCCTCAAAGCTAGTAAGGGGGTAAAAGAGAGAAAGTTTACAGACGAAATGATTTTCCATTAAACAGTTCATACATATTTTGTTTTGTGATATTGATTACAATCCCCACAACATAACAGGACTCTTCCTACTTCCTCCCTGTGGTTACCATTTCCCTTTGTCTTTCTTACCTATCCATTCCTGTCTTCTGAGTTTTATCCCTGGGCAAATGCTCTTATGTTCGAGTGTTCTAAGGAAGACATACCTCCCTAAAGTTATCATTCACCTAATAGGCCTGGTAACCATCAAAGACTGTTTCTTTCCATGTGCAAACCTTTCCTTGACTTTTTACAATAGTGAACTAATACAATATTTGTCCTTCTGTGATTGACTTATTTCACTCAACACAGTGTCTTCCAAGGACAACCCAGTATGAGGTGCTTTGCGGATTTGTCATTATTCTTTAATGTTTCATAGTTTGATTATCCATTCATCCTTTGGTGGGCACTTCGGTTGTCTCCATCTCTTTGATATTGTAAATAGTCCTGCAGGGAACATGGGTGTGCATATATCTGTTTGTATCCTGGCTCTCCATTCTTTAGGGTATATATCTAGTAGTGGGGTTACTGGATCAAATGGTATTTGTATTTACACATTTTTAAGGATGTACCATACCATTATACCATTTTCCATAGTGATTGTACCATTGTTGTTTTGATTTGCATCTTGATAATGGCTAAGGATCGAGGGTATTTCTTCATGTGTTTGTTGGCTACCTGAATATCTTCTTTAGTGAAGTGTGAGTTTATATCCTCTGCCCATTTGTTAATTGGCTTGTTTTCTTTTTCATGTTGAGGTATTAAAGTTTTCTATAAATTAGAAATAAGTCCCTTGTTGGGTATGTCACTGCCAAGTTTTTTTTCCCCCCCATCTGTATGTTCTCTTTTTACTCT